CCCATTCAAGGCACACATGTGTTTCTTTTAAAAATAGAATCAGTATTGCTAGAAAAGGAGAAAAAATGTGGTAGCCTCTTACTTACCAATGAATATTCTGTATAGTTATTCGATTTTCTAATAAAAATATAGAAGTTACACAGAAGTAATTGAATTCGTCCAAACTCTTTCACCACATAACACTGTAGTTCTCTTTGATCGGAAGTAAAAGAGAACTCTTGAAAGGAGACTTCATAGATATAATCTGCTAACATCTTCCCAATTGCTCCCAATTTTCACTTTCTTCAAGTGTAGCTCCCAAATAAGAAGCAATGTAAATGTTAGAGAGCAATATATATAACAACATATATCAATCTTGTGTAGCAACAAATACAAGTAAAATAAAGCTTAGATTATAAGTTGATATAACAGCCCTAATCAATCAATAGTTGTTAGGGATTTACTATGTTTGGTAATTTTTAAAACTATCACCATAAATACTTAGACACTTGGATTTATGAGGTTTGCTATATGCTTCAAACTAAGTTATCTCCCATCTCTTGCTGCTGTGAATCAAACATCTACAAACTATACAGGTCCGGTATATGGTTCAAACTTTAAACTAATTTATGGTTGTTTGAAATAACTATTTGCTTTGATATGGAGTAACCACCCCTTCCCAAAAAAAAAAGAGTATGGTATTGTGTTATTTTGCACTTTGTAACTTTCTTTGACGAGGGAAGTTTGATTGAGATGGTTTTGAAATGTGAAGAGATGTGCAAACGTTTACTAAGGAGGTGCAAAAAGTTGGTCATACTAGGTATGGGGAGAGGTAGGTCAAAGAAGTGTTGGAGATAGGTGATTAGATATGACATGACACACCTTCAAGTTGTCGAGGACATGACCTTAGATAAGAGAGTCTGGAGGATAGGTACTAGGGTGGAAGGTAGTGGAGTGTTCTCTTGCTTTTCACGAGTTTATGTTTGTCGTTGTATTAGCTGTATTATTGTACTTCTTGCTTTTGACATCTATCTTCATATGTTTTTACTAGAGTTTTAATTATCACATTATTTTGTTATTCTTGTAGGCTTTCCACCACTTCCCTGGTTAATTATTATGTTTTATTATATTGTTTTATTAATTCTTGTACTAGAATTTGTTGCACTTGAGCCGAGACTCTTTTGAAAACATCTCTACCTCCACGAGGTAGTGGTAAGGTTTGCATATACTCTACCCTTCCAAGACCCTTCTTGTGGAATTTCACTATGTATATTGTTGTTGTAACTTTATTTTTTTCATAATTGCATTCATTCAACATCCTATACAACAACAACATTCACAGTGGTTTTCCACTAAGTGGGGCCTGAGAGGGTATAGTGTACGCAGAACTTACCACTACCTCAAGGAGTTAGAAAGATTATTTTCAAAGAATTCTTGACTGTAACACATCAAATCAAAGTAAAAGAAAAAAACAATGAAGAAAACATAACAATTAAAAAGAAAGTAGTATGAAGTTTACAAGAAAAAAATTATAAGAACAATAAAACAATGCGATAACTAAATACAATAAACAACATATGACAAGAATCACAAGGGTAACAAGTACTACGACATACCCTAACAGGCATAAACCTTTGCAATGAAAGATAACACTTCAACCTACTAACCTTCTATCCAAATACTCAACCCTCACTCCTTATCTAGAGTCATGTACTTGACAAAATAAAGTTGTATTATGTTAGATCTAATCACTTCCTTAATACTTTTTTGGTTTACCTCTACCCTTCACGTACCCTTGCTATCAACGTATTGCACTTTCTTACCGTATGTCTACGCACTTCCTCTACACATGCCTAAACCATCTTAGCGTTGCTTCACTCATATTGAAGTTCACATCAAGGAAAAAAATAAGGGGACATAAAATAGCAAATCAAGAGAGATTGGAAATTGCCTCCAGTCAAACTAACACAAGATATAAATTCCACTTTCATATCATAAACAATACTAGTAGATATAAACATCAACTTTATGGTTCATCCTCAGTATATGCAGATAAAGATGAAAGCAAAGGCATAAACTGAAACACTAGTAGTTTATAAAAATCAAGATTTGAACCTTCTTCGAGGAGATGCGAAGATCAATCTTTAAATGAATCAATCTACACCATTCAATTAAAGATCTGAAAATGGATTGATCCATGATCAGTAACCATACAGATCTGGAAATCTCTGATGAGTTTCATGGATGAACATCATCTGGGGTTAAAGGATTTGGGAGGAAGGCAGGAGTAGGAATAAATAGAGAGTTTATAAGGGCTTTTTGTGGAGATTGCTTGATACTTGGTTGGTTGATTTACAAATGTTTGTCTCTCTATTTATACAACTAATTAGGGCTAATGTATAAATTATAATTGTTATGTGAGTCTTTATGTATTTACTAATAAGTCCATATTCTAGAATACTCTACATAACTAGAATATTCTAAGGACTTTCATCTAAAACTATGAAATTTTAATGTCTTGCAAAGATCTCTTCATACATTTCTAGAATATTCTATTAACGGTATCTTCAACCTTAAACTTTGTTTTATTTTTCAAATCTAGATTTTTATATTTTTTCAGTTCAACTCAATTTTCCATTTTATTATTATTTTTTCTATTTCATTCTTATTTTCTTATTTAAGACAATCAACTTCAACTTAATTTTCTATTCTTATTCTATTCTCTCTAAACCCTATCTTACAAACACTCTAACCATAGACCAATCCCCTATTTCAAGTGTCTTCATAAAACTCCATCCGGTTTCATAATAATCATGAAACTTCATGTATCTTTGTAATTTTATTCATAATACCATTCTTTTTCTTCTATTTCTCCTTCTATTGTATTGAAGTAAACTGTTATTAAAGTTTTCCTTTAAGGAATACAAAAGTATATCACAAAATAATGACACTGTTACTATCAAAACTTACGCCAATTTAATTACTTGAAAATGAAATAATCCAAATTTTAATGAACTTTTTTTTTCCTTTTATGATAGTGTTCTTTGTATTGTTAAGACCAAATGGGGTATAGTTATGATAGTTTACGGGTAATTAAAATATTATTATATCTAGTAGATGCCAGAGATGATCCAATGGTTATGTGAGACAAAAGGCCACAACACATACCAACACTTTGTCACTCTAAAGTCCAAAAACTAAAGAAGATTTTTCTTATTTCTCCACAAAACCTATCAACTATTGTCATGATTTAGTCATGTCATCATACCAGTTAGCCGGTTTGTGGCATAAATTTGTTCATAGTAAGCTTTAACGGAACATTCTAGAAATATATGGAGAAATGTTTGGAAGATCCAAGAATTTCATGGATTTACAAGAAAAATTCTTAATTAAAATATTTTAGTTCTGTTGAGTATTCTAGAATGGAGATTTATTTGTAAATATGTAGGGACTCGTATAACAATTGTTATTTATGTATTGACCATATGAAAGACTTACATTGATAGAAGAATAGTCCTTAGTGAAGTATATTCTAGAAATATATGGAGAAATCCTTGAAAGATCTTAGAATTCCATCTATTTACATGTAAAGGCCTTAAAGTATTTTAGTTGTGTAGAGTATTCTAGAATTGAGACTTATTGGTAAATATGTAGGGACTCATATAACAATTCTTATTTATATATTGTCCATATAGAATACTTACATTGAAAGAAAAACAATTCTTAGTGGAATATTCTAGAAATACATAGAGAAAATCTTTGAAAGATCTTAAAATGCTATCTATTTGCATGAAAAGGCCTTAGAATAGTCTAATTGCGTAGAATATTCTAGAATTGAGACTTATTTTGTAAATATGTAGGGACTCATATAACAATTGTTATTTATATATTGTCCATATGGAAGAGTTACATGAAAGAAAAAACAGTTTTTAATGAAATATTCTAGAAATATATGGAATTTTTTTTTGAAAGATCTTAGAAATTCCTTCTATTTGCATGAAAATGCCTTAAAATATTCTAGTTGCATAGAATACTCTAGAAATATATGGAGAAATCTTTGAAGGATATTAGAATTTCATGGATTTACATGAAAAAAACATTAGAATTTCCTAGTTGTATGGAGTATTATAGAATGTAGACTTATTTGTAATTATATAGGGACTCACACAACAATTATTATTTATATATTAACTCTAAATTAGTAGTATAAACTGAGAGCAACCATTTGTAAATTGACAAGCAAGAATAGCAATCTGTTTGAGTAATATGTCTCTTGAGCTATTGAGAGGTACTGATGAGGTTTGAGGCGTCCGAGAAAAAATATGGTTGCTTTTAGTGGCATTCCTTATCTCCTTGATGCAGGTTCGAGTCTTGATTTTTATAAACTATTAGTACTATAGCATATGTAGACAAAAAATTCTTTTAAGACATTTCAATTTCGAACTTTTAGTTCCTTTAAATTTTAAATTTCTCACTCACATCAATTTTGTGTTTCAAATAATGGAATAGAAAAAATAGAACTTTGTCATGTTCTTATTTCCTTATTTCAGCAACTACCTCTCTCCACTGCTTAACTGAAAAGATCTCATGCATTATAAATTAATAGCTAGTGCAAAAGAAAAATTACATAAAATAGAGATGGATCTAAGATTCAATAGAAGTAGTGAAATCTAATACCATTATACATATGATGGTTAGAATGGATTGAAAAAAATAGTTGTTGTTTCGAAGATAGATCTAGTCTCATTTGCTAAGTAAAATAGAATAGTTTGTTGGGAATAAATGCGTAACAGAAATAATATTTGCGGTAATAAAGGCAACAAATGCGGAACACAACAATACGGTTAATCAACGAGAATAAAAGAGAAATAATGACACCAAGATTTTACGTGGAAACCCTCCTAAATAAGGGAAAAACCACGATCCGAGAGGAGCAACAAATATCACTATAGTAAGGATTTCATACTTGTATGTCTGAGTAAAACTCCAAAGACCACTACACATTCAAAAGAAATAACACTCTTTTGATTTTTCCCCCTCACTACAATACCGCTCACACTCTCTATACAGATTATTTTCTTCTGTGATGCCTCACTCTTCTTTTCTCTCCTTTGTAATTCCTTTTTTTGGTGTATTTTGAAATGAGCAAGAGCTCTCTATTTATAGGAAAATCTACTCCTAATGATGTCACCAATGACATCACAAGAAACACAAGATTTTAACATTTTCACCTATGTAGAAATCTTGCTAAGATTTTAGTTGAAAAAAGAAATGGTGAGCTTTGAATTTTGTTGCAACATTTGTTGACTTTAACAATAATCAACAAACAAAATTCAACCATTTTTCCTATGTTTATCTACAATGGGTATGGACTCTACATAGTTTAGTATCTTTTCTTTTTTGATATAAACAACTTTTCATAGAAGATGTAGATCAAAGTTGCAAGTTCCCTATGATCTGCATTTTCTATTCTAAGCCGATTATACCAAAAAATAAAGATTCTAAAAAATTTCGTATTACTTTTGTGAATAAAATTAATATTAAATCTATTTTCAAAATATCTTTCATTTTTTTCTTGCAGACTGACCACCATATCCATGATAATATTAATTAGCTTTCACCACTACTTTTGAGTTTTAGATTCTCCACCTATCTCTTCTGTGTAATTTACTTTCTTGCAAATTATTAGTTTATAACGTTTGAAATCTTTTGTGTTGGACAGTGTTGAGACGGTGACTGTTTGTTTTAAGGAGATAGGAATAACTATTGACTAATCATGCAAGATTGATTTATGTAATTATATATTGTTCTCTAACATTTACATTTTTTCTTATTTGGGAGCTTTGGATCGGAGCATACACTTGAAGAAAGTGAAATTGAAAGCAATTGGGAAGATGTTAGCAGATTATATATGTGAAACCTCTTTTTAAGAATTCTCTTTTACTTTCGATCAAACTTCCTATTTAGGGGTGGAGCTACTTATATTGAAGAATCATATAATTTTTGTGTAAATACTTATAAAAATAAGTGGATTGTTTATTGGTAAATAAATACATGTTTGATTCTCTTTTTAAATGAAAACCATATACTTGCATACATTTTTCCTTTATTGCCTTTTTGCTATACAAAGATTTTATTTTCATATAAATGAGAATTTCTAAGTTTCAATAGTAATGAATGCTAGAAAAGTAATGAACTGAATCTACATTAGCAAAGTAATAAAATGAACGGAAACTTAAAGCCGCGCGGCTTAAAAACACACACAAAAAAAAGTGTTATCATACTTAAATTTTTTGTGAGTGATTTAAAAGCTTAATTCGCATTGCAATCGTTCCATGTTCATTCCTATACAATAACAATAACAATAATAATAACAGTAGTAGTAACATATTCTGTATAATATTTAAAAAATTGGCATATTATGACAAACTTTAGATTTAATTGATATTTAAGTAGCTCATTTTAATTTTTTAGCAATAAATTATTTATTTAGTTGACATTGAATCACCGCATTCTTTTTCTTGAAAACGATTTTTTTCTTAATTCTCTCTCTATTTTCTACTCCCTCCGTCCCATTTTATATGAGATAGTTTGACTCGGCGCGGATTTTATGTGAGGTTATTTGACTTGATATAGATTTTAGAAAGAAAGGAAGACACTTAAAATTTGTGGTTCAAAATGAATGATAGAAATTTTTGTGGTTGTAAATCATTTCATTAAGGATAAAATAGATATTTTATACTTATATTATTACCTACTATAGAAATATATTATTTTTTCGAAACTGACTTAAAAGAAAAATAACAATAAAAAAATGACGAACATTCAAAAATAAAAAATGACAAACATTCTTAAAAGAACAAGTAACTACAACAACAATCGGGATACAAGAAACAATAAATGGTACCTACCACTATTGGTGTGTGGAAGGTTAAGTTATACAACAATCAACTATTTATTAACATTTAACCTTAATTTGTAACCTCCTTAATTACTTATGTAAGATCACATTCTCAGCAAGCTTCAACTGAGCAATATACTAGGCATTAAGCTTAGTACATTGTGTAAATATATACAGAAAACATCCTATCTAACAAATAGTGTGGATGGTTAAGATTGATACTTGATAGCAAATTTCACAATCCTAGAAACTTATTTTCTAGACGTGACAACCTTCAACTTTTGAGTCGCGTTCACTTCCTTGCTATTATAACAAAGGTGTATGTTGGTACACGAAATCTCCAATGAACGATAAGGCCACTGGTAAATTGATGTTTGAGAGATCGAATTGAGTTAAAATTTTCAATCAAATAAAAATAGGTAGAAATCGACGGGATTAACTACTTTACCTTAAAACAACAAAACAGCAGTATCAAAGGTTCCAATCCCCACCCCCCCCCTCCAAAAAAAAATAAAAAATCAGAAGTTGAAAAACAATTTTCGTAAGTAAGCAAGAACAGACATACATCACACAATCATGAAATTGCAACTATCACCTACCTTGAAACAAGCTTGAAACCCTAAAAACTTGGATCTTTTCCTTTCAGAATTCATTCAGCTTGTTCTTGATCTACAAACAATCACAATAACACGGGAATCAACAAACAATCACTATTTACTATGATTACTAACAATTCTATGATCAACCCCAGATCAAACCCATGATCCCAATTATCTAAATTAGGGTTACTTTCATCATAAAATCTATAAAGGAACCCTTCCCCATCAATATTTATTCTATTACATTCTACGGATCGAAAAGTGAATTCGGGGAGTTAAAAGCTTACCTTTAGCTTCATGAATGGTGGAAAACGATTTGGAATAGCCCAAGGTCGTTCTTTAGCTCTAAAAGTAAAAAAATGTCAAATAAGGTCGTTTAGGGGTTTTATTTACGACTTTAATCGCGACTGTCCTGCTAGAGTGATACTCATCCCGCTGTAGCGGCACCCATCCTGTTGCAGCTTTTGAACCAGTGAACTCTCGCTTGAAAAATCTCAAAAATCTATACATCCAATCCCCATTGCGTCCGCTACAATGACACTCGTCCCGCTTTAGAAGCACAAATCCCGCTACAACGGCCAAAAGTAAGACAAAACCTTTTTTAGAGAAATTGAATTCCTCCATTTTACAACACTCTTAATCCATTACGCTTAGAAAATAGCCTTAACGCTAAAGAACGATTTCCGGGGATCTACTTATTCAAATTCAATTCGGTAAAATCGTACGAGTTCCTTAACGAGTTACCTAACCGATTATGCAATCAAATTCATATTTACTCAACCCGATTGTTACCGAATTTCCCTACACCGATGACTCTAATTTTTCTCCAAATCTTGACAAGGTTGGAAAAATACCAACACTACGAAAAAAAAGTTTCCTATCCCAATTTTCCCTCATTAACATTTCTATAACGAGGAAACTAGGTTGTTACATATCACTAGAATTACTAGTACATTTTATCTCAATAAACTTTATTTTCTATTTGAATTGAGTATTTTTATTTTTTGAATTGATGGTATAACTGTTGGAGTTGATCGGTAACTTTTTATTTAATTGAGAGATTAAAAAAATGTTTTTTTTTAATATAAAGAGGAAATTAGATGAAAGTGACATTAATATAGATTAGATGAGAACGGGTAATTAAAAATAATATTTGTGAAACAAAGTTAGTACATAAAAAAATAGATTTTAAAGTTTCATTCTTTTGGCTTAAAATATTATTAAAGAATTACTTTAGCATCCCTTAGTTAATAATTCATGTATATTCGTTAGATATACGTAAAAAAAGAAATAAAATGACCTTAACAATAATGACATTTTAATTACAGAAGCAAACAGATTTAATATGATATTATAAATAAAATATTAGACTAATATGTTGAGATTAAAATAGAATCATGTAATACCTAGATAGATTGAACTCAGTACGGTGGAATATGTTTCAATCTTCATGTAAAATGTTTTGTTAAAAAATAATATGTGAAATAATAAGTAAGTTTGATCTATTTTCTTGTGTTCGATATGTGGAAAAAAAAATCTAAGAATTATATTTTCTAAATAATATCAATTATCAAGCATAATTAATTGATAATTTAGAGCTACGTTTATTCTTCCTAATTTTTTGTATTTTCATCTTGCGTTTTCTAGAAAATGTCTGCTAGACATATATGCTTTGATTGACCACGTAATATTGTGCATAATGATTAACCTTAGATATATTATGATATAATATGTACCTTAGTATAAACAAAGGGCATGCATCTGATCAAAACGAAATCATAGTCTCCTTCTTGTTGTAATGGAAATATTTCACAGTTATTATCAAAAAGAAAAAAAATCAGACGTAGATAAAAATAAAGGAGAAAATATTGCTCAATGGGTTCGCATTGTAAAGTATTAGGTATAGTTACAAGGGTCTTATCACTGAGTCATCTATTTTTATTTGTTATTGAGGGGATTCAAAATATATGCATCTACAGAAATATAGAAAATTTACCTTATATATATCGTGTAGTTTTTTGTCGAGAGTGTTCGGGTGAACACCTTGGACCCAATGTGGGTCCACCCCTGATTGTCATCTGTTTTTACTAGTGTTTTAGTTATGACATTATCTCGTTGTTCTTGTGGACTTTCCACCACTTCTCTTGTTAGTTGTTATGTTCTAATTATACTGTTTTAGTAATTTTTTGTACTAGAATTCGTTGAACTTGAGTCAAGACTTTTTTGAAAATAACCTCTCTATCTACACGAGGTAGTGATAAGGTCTACATACACTCTACTCTTTCAAGATCCTTCTTATGGAATTTCACTATGTATGTTATTGTAATTTCTTTTTTTCATAATTGCATTCATACAATATCCTATACATCAATAACTATACCCAATGAAATTCCACTAAGCGGAGCCTGAGAGAGTATAAGAGTATCAAATCTTACTACTACCTCATGGAGGTAGAAAGACTGTTTTCAAAAAAAATTCGACTATAGCGCATCAAATCAAAGTAATAGAAAAAAAAACAATAAAGAAAGCATAACAGTGAATAAGAAAGTAGAGTAAAGTTTACAAGAACAATAAGATAATGCGATAACTAAAACATAATAAACAAGTACTACGACAAACCCTACAAGCCTAAACCTTTGCAAGGCAAAATAACAATTCACCCCTACTAACCTTCTACCCAAACACACGACCCCCACTCCTTATCTAGAGTCATGTACTTGACAACATAAAAATGCATTATGTCCTGTCTAATCATCTTCTTCATACTTTTTCAACCTACCTTTACTCCTTCAATTAAGCTAACACAAGATATTCAGTAATTCCACTTTCATTTCATAAACAACAGCAGTAGTAGATATAAACATCAACTATATGGTTCATCCCAAATATATGCAGATAAAATCCAGTCAATCTAATGCATAGCAAACAAAGATGAACACATAGGCATAAATTGGAACATTAATAGTTTATAAAAATCAAGAGTTGAACCTGCTTCAAGGAGATGCAAACGCCAATCTTTGATCGAATCAATCTACACCATTCAATTGAAGATTTGAATAGATAGAGGGATTATAGGATTTAGTGTAAGCTAAAGTAAGCCAAAGAGTTTATGAGGCTTTTGTGAAGATGACTTTGATTCTTGTCTGATTAATTTACAAATGATTGTCTCTCTATTTGTACAACTAACTTAGGGCTAATTTATAAATAGTAATTGTTATGTGAGTCCTTATATATTTACATATAAATTCCCATTCTAAAATACTCTACGTAACTAAAATGTTCTAATGACTTTCCATGTAAATTTATGGTATTAAAAAATTTCTCCATATATTTCTAGAATATTCTACTTAGAGCCTCTCCAATCTTAAAGTCTATTTTACCCTCCAAATATATAGTTTTCTATTTTTTAAACAACCAACTCCAATCTAATTCTCTATTTTACTCTTTAAAAAGAAAAATATTTTTCTCTCCTCAATATTATTATTATTATCTTTATTTCGTTCTTATTTTCTTATTTCATAATATAAATTCTTCTTTCTTTTCCCCAAATAATTA